TGTAAACATCTTCACTGATGTGGCCATGCCAGTTTTAACATCTCTTTGGGGCTAGGATGTAAAAGAGCGAAAAGTTATTGTAGAGAAATATCCAATGACTTATATTATGTAGATATACAGCTCTAACAGTTCTTTCAAACATTTTCTCTCCATTGACGTCCAGCATTGTCCATTTCTGGAATCAAAGACAGAGATGAAAGTCACATGCACCCTCTATTAACTATGCATGCACTATCCATTTTGTGACCAACATTGCTATATCTGTACCATACTGTACCTCAGGCAATCTGTTCCTGAGCTCATCCTGGCTTGTTCCTTCGCAAATATTAGGATCACTTCAGGAATTTTGAATGCATAACAGTACTGTAGCTTCTAAAGTTTATTGGAAAAAATAAAGCATGGATCCACCTTAGAGTCTAATCTCGAAATTTCTCTGGTAAAAATAATGATACGTTTTGTAATCAAACTTTGACATAAGAACTTCAGTCAAGGTCTTAATACGTTGACATGCACACACTTTGTCTTTGACCAAAGTATACATTGACTGACGTAGGGTTCACTTCATACGTAAACCTTGATCAAACCGAGTATTTGTTGAAAGAAACATTGATATTATATACTATGCAGCCTGAAGATTCACTCATTCACACATCTGTCTTTGACCAAACTGTAGCTACTTAAACTATAGCCTACACATGTAGCTAGATCATGCAGTCTTAAAATAGGGTTACACTTTACATGCACAGTTTGGTCTGACCGCTGGACTTTGTTCAAAGAGATTTTGTTGGTTAGTAAAACCAGTCTTGAAATAGGGTTACACACTTTGTCGAACGAAATTGTGACACTGTTTTTTTACACCTCACACTTTGAATTTCACAAAGAAGCATTTTAACACGATTATAATTCCAATTGAATTAAAGTCACAATTACATCAATGGTAATAAAACATTTTATTATATGGATATGAGTAAAATACCGTAAAATACGCCACTGATATTTTCCGTATTTCACTATAGTGAAATATGAAATCATATCTTACGCGGGAACGTCTCGCGCGGGACCCACGCTAATTCCCGCCATTTTACCGTTTCTGTTTTGAATATACAATATGGCAACTTCTCGACATTTTGTTGGTGTTTTCGACGCTGATTTGGCAAGGTTTTCTGAAGAAAATGAAAACACAAAAAGGAAGACTAATTAGTCCTATTTGGCGATCTTCAGCGACTATTTAGCCTCGATTAGCAAGCGGAGAGACATAAACATTGTTGCCGTACGGTGAGCTACAAAACAAAAAAACAAAACTTGAATAAACTAATAAAGTCATACGTTTTGTTATTTTTGCTTCAACTTTTATCCATATAATAAAAAGAACATTTCACGGTGGCTTTGGAAATATGACTTTTATTTTCTCGTGTTGAAAACAATATTTTACTCACTCGCTGCGCTCGTTCGTAAAATATTGTTTTCACCACTCGAAAATAAAAGTCATATTTCCTGCCACCGTGAAATATCCTCTATATATTTACATAATAAAGTGGTTTATTATATACACAAGGTCTGGATATGAGGTATTCTGCAATCTGATTGGTTCTCTACTAGCAGGATATTAGCTCATATCCTGCTAGTAGAGAAAAACAAAATGGCGGCCAAACTGAATTTACGATGTTTTGCAAATGAGAAAACGGCAAGTTGTCGCTTTTTATTGCCTTCACAGGATTAAAAACACAATGAAAAAACTCCCACAAATTGTTTTCAGGTTAGCAAATAAATTTTTAATATTTAAAATGGTTGAAAATATATATTTTTGAAAAAATAATCGGCCGAAAGAGCGAAGATAAAACATAAACAAAATAGAAAAATATTGAAAATATTCGAAAAGCAAAGTCTGTGAATTCAGACCTTGTGTATATAATAAAACAGTTATTCCACTCACTCTCGTCGAATATGAGCGATAGCCGATTCGGCGCTACGCGCCTCATCGGCTATCAGCTCATATTCGACTCGAGTTAAATATAATAGGTCTGGAGCTTACTATATAGAAACCATTACGCTTTATATAAATTAGGGGTCGGTCGGTCGAAAGTCAGTTAGCTTTATCCAAGGTTAACAAAATACTTCAATTTTAGGTGAGCAGCCTTCCTAACAGCTTGTTTACGAAGTACAGGTAATATCTGAACCAAAATGAGGAGTTAAATATTAACCAACGATTAGCGCTAATGATTTTCGAACAAACGACCCTGGACTCGCGCGCGTAGTAAAATATTTACATGATATAGTGTAATTATACCTATAATTACCTAATTACGTGTATTTAAATGCGCGTAATACAAATTTTCGCTCAGTCTCAACTCATCCGATACAATTTTGCGCATCCGAGAAATGCGACATTTTATTACATGCAGCTTTTATTTTAATTTGCGCAACTTGAAACATTTCAAAACTAGAAAATTACATTCGTAAGTTACAGTTTCTTGATGTAGCTGTAAAAAATCTATAAATGACTAATAATTAGTACACATGATTTTCACTAGTCTAATTTTCAGTATTTGGTGTTACGCTGGCAAACATTTTCACGCAAATTAATTTTCTGTATATACGCAAATTAATTTTCTGTAAACAGCGGCAAACTGTTTCGCTCGGTTAAATTTTTCGCGGTGAGTTGCAATTTCGCGCAGTTATACGTTCTGCGCGAATTCTAATACGGCGCAAATTTAAATACAAGTAAGATATAACATAATTCAAAGTTCATCACGAATTGAACATTTCCCGTTATTCAGATAAATTACTGAAAAAGCACAATAACTATGAATGAAAAGATTGTTCTGCAGAGCCTGAAATAACGATCGAAATTGTCCGGAAAACCACGACCAAATGTAAATTTGTTGGAAACTTTCAAATTTGGTCAGATATCTAGACGCAATTCTGGACAAGGCTGAAAACAATTACTGAAAACTGACAGATGAATTTTTACCCAAATAGTTCTTAATAACCCTAACCAATTGCAAGTTGGCATTTTAAAACTAAATTGTTTGACAAATGTACAACATCCTTTGAAAATAATGTTGACATCAGCGATAATATCTTTAAAAACTCCGTAACTCGAAGAGATTAATTGTATCTACTGAATTCATAAATTCACTCATATAATAGCGATCTATAGACTACTTGTGCAGACAGCCAGCCTTGTACGGTAGCTTTAGTAGTTTAGATATAATTTTTCAAGTGAACGGTTTAAGATCTATATTTCAGGTTCTGCATTAGGAATAAAACTATGAAAGTATTTATGCAATATCATATTTACATTAGTTGTCTGATAATGTTGAACAATTTATTTATTTTCAACCGAAGTTTCTTGAGAAAATACATTTTCCAAAATGATCCATCAACTCAAACTTCTAACTTCAAACTCTAAATACAACCATGTTTTCAGTTTATGTTTCCCTTCAATGCAACTACTCAAACCATGCAGGGGCGTAGGAAGCGGAAAGATGGGACAAGCACATGCCCCTTGTTAACAAGGTGGAGTGGAATAGGTTTTGGCCTGCCAAAACATATTTGAGTTCACCATTAGTATATTTGAAGAATTCGGAACAGTCAACTGTAGTTATTTTATTATAAAATCTTATTATTCAATACTGAAATATAATTGCATTTTCTGCATGTTGCATTTCGGAGTAAAGAATGTTGTAAAATTGTAAATTTTAAGTGCAATCCAGTATTATTCCTTTGTTGCCCGTCTGCTGCTTTACTTAAAAGCGCGCAAAAATGGACGCATGGAAATGCCATTTCAGAGGGTCTAGATTTCAAAATTTTCTCCGTGTGGAAGGCAAAACTTAGTTAAACCCCGCTAGTTGAGTGGTCTCTTTGGCACAATGGTCGTCAAAGAGACCCAAATTGAGTTTCCTACGCCCCTGACTCAAACTCCTAACTTACAACTCTAAATACATGTACAACAATGTTTCGAGTTCACATTTTCCTACGAGTAAACCAACTATTCAAACTTCTGAATAACTGCAACTCCAAATACAACCATGTTTCAATGACAAATAATCCAAAATTTCATTTGCTGGAACCTCTATACTATGCAACTCTAAATACAACCATGAACCATGTTTCAATGTCATATAATCCAACATTTCATTTGCTCAAATTTCTACTATGCAACTCTAAATACAACCCTGTTTCAATTACACATATAATCCTACATTTCATTTTCTCAAACCTCTACTATATGCACTCAAAGTTTTAGCAATTCTAAGTTTTCAATTCCTATTTTCTTATACGTTTTATAAACAATCAATATAACTCAAATTAATTTCTGCTGTGCAACTCTAAATGCAACCATGTTTTCTATTCATATTCCACTTCCTTTTTCTTAATTCAGAATAATTTAGTAAGTTTGCAGTTCTCATTGTTCTTGACATCACGTAAATATTTAGCACCTTCGTCTGTTAAATTATCAGAGCATCACGTAAATGTTTAGCACCTTCATGTGTTAACTCATTTTCTCTCATACCTTAATTCAGTAAGTTTGCAGTTGTCACTCATCAGAGCATCACGTAAATGTTTAGCAGCTTCATGTGTTAAATTATTGTAGCGTATGTCTAATTCAGTAAGTTTGCAGTTGTCACTCATCAGAGCATCACGTAAATGTTTAGCAGCTTCATGTGTTAACTTATTGCCCCTTATGTCTAATTTAGTAAGTTTGCACTTGTCACTCATCAGAGCATCACGTAAATGTTCAGCACCTTCATCTGTTAAACCATTACCGCTTATATCTAATTTAGTAAGTTTGCACTTGTTACTCATCAGAGCATCACGTAAATGTTTAGCACCTTCATTTGTTAACTCATTGTTCTTTATACATAATTCAGTAAGTTTGCAGTTGGCACTCATCAGAGCGTCACGTAAATGTTTAGCACCTTCATGTGTTAAATTATTGTAGCGTATGTCTAATTCAGTAAGATTGCACTTATTACTCATCAGAGCATCACTTAAATGTTTAGCACCTTCATCTTTTAAACCATTGCGCATCATGTCTAATTTAGTAAGTTTGCACTTGTCACTCATCAGAGCATCACGTAAATGTTTAGCAGCTTCATGTGTTAACTTATTGCCCCTTATGTCTAATTTAGTAAGTTTGCACTTGTCACTCATCAGAGCATCACGTAAATGTTCAGCACCTTCATCTGTTAAACCATTACCGCTTATATCTAATTTAGTAAGTTTGCACTTGTTACTCATCAGAGCATCACGTAAATGTTTAGCACCTTCATTTGTTAACTCATTGTTGTTTATACATAATTCAGTAAGTTTGCAGTTGTCACTCATCAGAGCGTCACGTAAATGTTTAGCACCTTCATGTGTTAAATTATTGTAGCGTATGTCTAATTCAGTAAGATTGCACTTGTTACTCATCAGAGCATCACTTAAATGTTTAGCACCTTCATCTTTTAAACCATTGCGCATCATGTCTAATTTAGTAAGTTTGCACTTGTCACTCATCAGAGCATCACGTAAATGTTTAGCAGCTTCATGTGTTAACTCATTGGTTCCTATACCTAATTCAGTAAGTTTGCAGTTGTCATTCATCAGAGCATCACGTAAATGTTTAGCTCCTTCATCTGTTAAACCATTACCGCTTATAAATAATTCAGTAAGTTTGCACTTGTCACTCATCAGAGCATCACTTAAATGTTCAGCACCTTCATCTGTTAAACCATTACCGCTTATATCTAATTTAGTAAGTTTGCACTTGTCACTCATCAGAGCATCACGTAAATGTTTAGCACCTTCATGTGTTAACTCATTGACGTTTATACCTAATTTAGTAAGTTTGCACTTGTCACTCATCAGAGCATCACGTAAATGTTTAGCACCTTCATGTGTTAACAAATTGACGTTTATATCTAATTCAGTAAGTTTGCACTTGTCACTCATCAGAGCATCACTTAAATGTTTAGCACCTTCATCTTTTAAACCACTAAAGCGAATGTCTAATTTAGTAAGTTTGCACTTGTCATTCATCAGAGCATCATCACGTAAATGTTTAGCACCTTCATTTGTTAAATTAGTGTCGCTTATGTCTAATTTAGTAAGTTTGCACTTGTCATTCATCAGAGTATCACTTAAATATTTAGGACCTAATTCATTTGTTGAATCAGTTTTAAATAGGTGTAGCTCAGTTAGTTGGCAGTTTTCATTTTCTTTCGTCAGTAAATTCGCCAATGCATGGACAGCGTGGAAATGGTCCATGATGCAACGAATCATCTTAAGCTTGTGCAAGTTCTTTAAATAACTTAGGAATTCAAACAAAGCAGTAGTTTCCACTGGCGCAATATGTAAATGGTCTAAACAAACTTCTTCACGATCCCAACGGGAGGCAATTAATTTCATAACACTTTCTTCTTGCATTTCGTGCACACATTTTATCACATATAACGCGTTGTTGTGACCGTCAATTCGTCTTACCTTTGGCATCCAGTTTTGAAATCTAGATAAAGATATTTTAAGAAAAATGAAGGTTACGTATCACATGAGAAAATTTCTTTTCACCAAAATATGAACCGCACGCGCTAATTTCGTGAGGTTATGTATTAACCAAAGTTAATAGCCAGTGAACCATGCGTGATCCAGAAATTGGGTGCCGCTTTCAGTTGTGCCTTGTATGCGCTGCTTGCGCAACATATGGCCATTAGCTGTTGGTCAAAGTGTAACTATATAATGTAGTGAGAAAAGATTAAAATCCCCTCAACTCTTCCTTATCAAAATACAGGTATTTTCACCACCAATGTTATTGGTGTGATAGTGCAAGCTTCCCAAGTGTGGTTGGCAATAGACCTTATGCATAATGACGTCATAAAGCGTGATGCGCGCGGAGAATTCTGGTCATAGTAGTCACGGCGGGAAAACAGCAACATGACCACTGTCGTAGGTGAGTATGCTGCTGTTCTTTGTCGTCTTTTAGAGACTGTTCAAGCCAATGAAGACCCCAGTTCTTTTTAGCACTCTTGCATGGGTCTTCGAAAGGCTTGGTGGGGGGCCTTGGCAGTCCTGAAAGTAACGGCAACAGTCCGCTTTCATCGACCAGCACGAGTATTAAAGAAATGGCGGTTTTACTTGTCGTGTTCCTGGTTGTTTTACCTGAACAATAAAAGAAATCCAGAACAATATTCTGTTATGTATAAAGGAGTTATATTCTGTGCCTTTATTGTTAGTCTATAATTCGTTGGTGTAGGCTTTGCAACATTCAAATATGGCGGCTGGTTCATGTAGGATTTACGTCCTCCTGGAAAATGCAAAGAACCAGGGCCGTAGCCAGACCGATAATTGGGGGTTAATATCCGTGTTCTGCCCGACGGATTTCTTTTGAAAGCGGTTGATTTTCCGGTATGTGAACATGAATATGAATACCCCAATTATTGCGTCTAGCTACGGCCCTGCAAAGAACGCGCTCTAGTGGCCTGTTGTCGGTAAGAAATCTTTGCAGGCAAATACATTTATCCACTTCTTTAATACAGAGTTCTTTTGATTCCACACTTGAAAAATTATAAAAAGAAGGCTCGGTATTTCCTTTATTGTTGGTAAAACAAGCAGAAACACAACATGTAAAACCGCCACTTCTTTTACACGTACAGTTGTACTGGTCGATAAAAGCGAACTGTTGCCGTTACTTTCAGGACTGCCAAAACTTCTCGAAGAGAAAATGCAAGAGTTCTGAAAAGAACTAGGGTCTTCATTGGCTTGAACAGCCTCTAAATGACAACAAATTAAGAACAGCAGCACACTCACCTACGACAGTGGCCATGTTGGATTGTTTTCCCGCCGTGGCAAAACGAAGACCAGAATTCCCAGCGTGCATCACGCCTTCTGTCGTCATTATGCATAAGGTATATTCAAGGTACCATTTCTATGGATCTTTCCTTAATCCAATCCAAGTACTACAGTACCTCTGGTTCTTAGACCACGTCGGTCAACAGTTTGCACCTAACCTTTTAAACCTTTTAAAGAGGAAGTATGGTCATAGAATATATTGTGGTTGTATCTATGGTGAATGTAGATATTATAACCTAGATTTGTCCCATAAATTTCGCTGGCAAATCATCCAAAACAGCAACATGCGGTTTTAATCAAACCGGCTCACATAGGCATGCAAAATATCTCTCATCAAATAGTCGAAGAACAAAACCTGCACGCATTCGCATTTTTGGATATGCTTATATAAGGATATAGCGTGATGCTTTGACACTAAAAACGATCAAACATTGCTTTGATTTCAAGGATTTCAATATGCCCAAAAACTAATGCACGTATATAAATATAATCTTTCCTGTAACACTATTTCAGTATTACGTATAACTTCTATTATAATTGCCAGACAAGATTTCACATAAACTAGCTGTAGACATCACCTTTGAATATTGTCGATAAATAGAAAAATAAGAAATGCAAATAACACATCGTTGAGTTTATATGCTTGCTACTTTGTTTGGCAACTTATATATTAACATTGTAAAAATAGGTACGCGCTGCGTACATGCGTCTTGCCCATTAGTTTGGAAGAGTTCCCTTGGTAAATTGTCGTGGTACAAAAATTAATAATGTTTTATTAATTAATTTGAATGTAGCATGTTTGACCAATAACACCGCATTTCGATTGGTAAGCCAGGGCCCGGTCTTCAGGAGTGTAAATATTATAATTTTATTGTTTTTACTGACGACGATCAAGGGTTAGAAAATACAATCATGGACCAATTCATTGGGACAATGATGCATCAAACGAATAGTTTGAGATGTTGTTTTGCTAACGGCAGTTTTATATACGCCCCACAACCTCAATGTTATGTATTGTGGAACGATGTTAGGTTTCGCCCAACTCAGTTTCGTTGTCAACATTGATCGGTGGGGGAAGAGGAGGGCTGAAACTGAGGCTACATATGGGGTAGCGCGTTTTTATATATGGGCGTGAACTTTGTCCCAATGAAATTATTCGACGATTGTAGGTGTACAGACGTACGATTTTATGCTAAAAATTCTTGGTAACGTACATCTCAGTAATACAGCTCTTTAATTTGTGCTCCCCTGAAAATCCTTCAGACAATGAGCATTTCCCGATCTGGGTTCGCTTCATGAAATTTCCATTTTGCTTACTAGAATACACTTGCTTACTAGAATACACCCTTTCGGAAAGTGCTCAGCCCTGGCTATGAAGCCTCGTTTACATAATTGAGATCTCGGCTTTGGAGCCTTTAATGCTGTTACTGATGACCTAATAATATAAAGGTCTCTTATGCCCGTTTTCGACGCCATGCTTTTCATGCGCCGAACCTATATATAATGCCCATATCTTTTTTCAATACAAATTATCATATGATTATGGTATAATTATTAGCAATTTAGCGCTGAAGTTTCTGACAAAGTGTTCTTGTGTCTTGGCACGGTACAATTAAGTGCGACATCTAAATCAGTTGCCAAACTTGCGTTGTATTTAAAGGGATATGGCAATATATTTTATTATTATTTCATTTTAAAGAACTTTTAAAATTATATGTTAATCTCCTTTACCGATTTTGCGTAACTTTATTATTTCTTGAAATATTTTGACTTATAATAATTTGCTGTCCGCCATCTTGGATTAATTTTTATCTCATTATCGGTGATTTTAGTCACGTCGTCATAAGCAGGGTTGGCCATATAAAACTACATCTAAATGACCAAATAACATTAAGTCTTGTTTGAAAAGTCGTCAGACAGCTTTTTATTTCAAATAGTTACTGAAGTATATGATTTTGGGCTCATAATAACCAATTGATTGCTCTATGGATAAAATTCTTGCGTGACCCTGCTTATGATGTCACATGCATATCCGCCAAAATCCAAGATGGCGGAAAGCTCGCCGATTTGTGATTTTTTCTTTTCAAATATCTCAAGAAATAATAAAGTTACGCAAAATCGGTAAAAGAGATTAACATACATGCAATTTTAAAAGTTCTTTAAAATGAAATAATAAAAAAATATATTGCCGTATCCCTTTAATATGATTCGGTTCGGCCCATGAAAAGTTCGCCTTAGATTATATATTTTTACTGTAAACGAGGCTGTGTGGCCAAAAGACTAATTACTTTCCGGAAGGGTGCATGCATTGAAATTTTTATTATGAAATTAGTCCTTACCGAAATTTTACGTGTACGTTGTTTAGCTAGACCGTTACTGCGTTAGTTGTGAGTGGACTGGAATTTGCTAAATGCAGCAAGGCTCATCTTTTCACGCCTTTTGAAAACTCAGTAAACGCTCGCGAAACATTTTTATGTCCCCTATAAATGAAATTAATACAACAGAGATCATGGCTATACGGGATCATGGTAGATCGAGTAGTATGCCTCACGACTATTCATTATAATTGCACTTTTTACAAACTATAACAATGATATCGCAGCAACGTATATTGTGCACAAACATCCTGGAAATTATTAATTTAAAATCGGTACAATACGAAGTTGAATTTCACGCCCATATGTCAGTAGCCGCATGTTTGGAATCTCGGTGGATGATTGTATAACATTTTCAGTGGCGGACACTCTGCAAATTGTTTTGGGAGGGGGCTAATTTAGGTTGCCATCATATGAACACCTTTTGTTAATGCAAAACTCAGTTCTTTATTAAAGTTTTGCTTAAAATTTCCTGCCATATATAGCTTAATTTGTATAGCTCATAAGCGTGTTAATATATAATAACAGATATATAGAAAGCCTGGTACTCAGGCTATAACAGAAAACGTACCTCTCGCATATGCAATCTATTATTTTTTCGTTCTTTGCAAGATCTTGCAATTGTTTTCTTTCGTTGTTTGTAAGCTTTGGTGACCTGATGTTAACAATAAAAATTTAAAGTCAATTACGTTTACCCTAGCTAGCCGTGGCTATACACCTCGTTTTCGTGTTTGAGACATTAAACAGATTTAGATCGAGGACGCGGACGTCAAAGACGACGTGAAAATGGCGTCAAAATGACGTGGCATATCCATACATGGGCACAACACGCTATTTTCACGTCATCTTTGACGTCCGCGTCCTCGATCTAAATCTGTCTATTGGCTTAATTAAGAGCCAATGGGCCCTTTATCTTGTTATTGATTACAAAACATTAGAAACAGAGGTCTTCTATATTCTCTGATATAACTGTATGGTTTTGTAAATTGGCTTAAGAGCGAATATGAGCCCTTTATCTTGTTACTGATTACAAAACATTAGAAATAGGTCTTCTATATTCACTGATATAACTGTATGGTTTTGTAAATTGGTTTAAGAGCCAATGAGCCCTTTATCTTGTTACTGATTACAAAACATTAGAAACAGGTCTTCTATATTCACTGATATAACTGTATGGTTTTGTAAATTGACTTAAGAGCCAATGAGCCCTTTGTCTTGTTACTGATTACAAAACATTAGAAACAGGTCTTCTATATTCACTGATATAACTGTATGGTTTTGTAAATGTGTCTGACCTCTAACAAGATAAAGGGCTCAAAAAGTCTAAACCCATGCATGCAATATCTCAATAATGAAAACGAGGCTCTATATATAGTAAAGGCTGATAATTTTCCTGAGGGGTGTATAAACTCTGTTCTTCTAAACTTGATATAGACATGTACAGTATATGGTGGAATATTTTATATTTTTTACTAAACAGGCGTATACCTTTGCAGTTTATTTCTTTGTGCCTTCAATTCCCTCTTTTTATCTCCAATTAACCCAGCAACAAACTGGATCACTAAATGCCACTTGGGATTATTGATGTGCTCAGATAAAAATGATTGAACATTTTTCATATCATCAACTACGTGTAGTGCTGCGAGAAACTCTTGAATAGTCAGATGAAGAAAACAGAAAATGTTCTGTCGTTTGTCTTCCAGTTTATTGAGTAAACCACAGTCTGACAACTCAGAAGCAGATTCATCATCATTTTCAAACTCGAATATTAACTGGTCTTCTATCATTCCGTTTCTTGCAATTCCTTTAAGTTTGTTCAAGTCGTTTTGAAGCTGTTCAGGAAGCTCTGCGATCATATAGTTTTTTGGAATTGGTTTATCTTTATATCCTAAATGGTGCTTATGAAGTAATATCTTTATAGCTCTTTTGTACAACTCCGTAATTGTTCTTGGGACATTGCTCTGACCTTCAACTTCAATGCTTTCCTTCAACGTTAAACACACTATACGGGAATTAACAGGTATGTAACATAAGCTTAAAAGCTCCGGTGACTTCTTGATTAAATTCCATATCTCTGAGGTTTTCTGCATGTCATGAAGGCAAAACTTTTCAACATACTTTTTGATTTGCCCCTCTTGAAAGCCCAAGATCTCGATCTCTCGATCAAATTTTAGGGCTTGATAAATATGCTCTGCCGTGGGTCGAGACGTGGTTAATAATGTGACTCCAGGCAATAGTTTGCCTTTTACTAACTGTTTAAAAATCAGGAATATATGCGTAACTTGATTGGGACTTTTTATAGGCTTTTCATCGGCTAAAACCTCATTATTTACTTTAAGTTCGTCTAGCCCGTCAAAAATAAGAATAACATTACTTGGTATCAAACAAATATATTCATAGATATAATTCAAATCAGCTAATGACATATTAAGTCCATCAGAATTGCTCAGTATGTCTCGTAGACTTGTTTGCCCCTTGTTAAAAGCACGAAATCGAATTAAGATTACTATTTTATTATGCCAGAATTTGGATATTTGTTGTTGCCACTGATAGAGAAGTTTTTTTGTTAGGAGAGTTTTGCCAATGCCTGGTCTGCCCACAACAAGAATTTTTTTGGTATGTTTCTTGTCAGCACCTGTGGGTTTAAATAAATATGCCACTTTCGTAAGGGTAGTCGCATCTTCTGGTGCTTCAAAATATACTTCGTATGTCTCATGCCTATCTTTAAACCGTCTTCTACAAGTACTTTGCCTTCCCTCCTGAATTATGACATTGACATACATCTCTTCCAGTTTTCGACGTGACAAACGTTTCTCGCCAAAATCATCATACAAGTAAAATATTTCGTCTGGTATGTTCTCTCTAATCTTTTTCATTAACTTTCTGATTCTTTTACGCTTTTTCAAAAGGTAGACACAACAAAACTCAAGGTCAGTAAATAGATTACGATCTATGTATGTTGACCACAACAGATCGGCAAGCTCCATGAATGCCACTGCAGCAAAAAGGAAATTGAATGTTACAACGGTCGTAGTTACTTTTTCTTTATTGCTGCCCATAGGATAAGTGCAGCGCACAGTTGAAAAGTTCATATTTTCATTTTGTGTCAAGTTTGCGTGGGAAGTACTCGTGGTTTGCTTTGGCCAAGGACACTCATATTGGACTGGAAAATTGGACGAAGTAAAGAGCAATGCTGCGAATACAACTAATGGTATTATACGGCAAAGGATCAAATGCATAATGTAAACCGTGAAAATAATATGACCACCAGGATTTTGGCATGCCATAGGGTCCGATGCAGCCCGTGAAATACCCAAGAGTGGCTGACTTTCATTATCGGCGCCATTCGAATTCGTCGTTATATTGGGAGGATCTGCAAAGATTTCCACACGATCTTTCACCCACAGAGCATAGATAATACTGAATAGAAGCACAAGTCCAAAATTTATTATTATCAGAACAAAAAGAGGTGATGAAGGGTGGAATTTTTGTGTGTATTTAAGCAAACACTGCGTTTCAACGAATTTCCTTGTTGACAGGTCGCTCGCTATGGTCTTGTCGGGGTTACATTGTAGCGTCGTTTTCAAATCGAAAGCAGTCGCAATCCCAATGACAATACTGCCAATTGACACAAATAGACCAAGAAGCATATAACAATATTTATTGTAGCTCTTCTTTGGAACCCATTTAAAACAGCTTTCCATGTTTGCGTGTGTATTTGTCGCAATCTTGGGTGGACTGTCGTGGTGGAATTGTCATTAAAACGGGAGGATACAGATGCAAGTGGAGTAAATAATTTGCATTTCCGGCTGCATATATTTCACGCTACCATTACCAATCATTGCTCAAAATTAAAACTGATTTCCATTTTTTAATGCAAACGGATAATTGTTTCTGAGCTAAAGTTACGCTTATATTTTTTAGTACTTGCGAGTATCAACACCCATTTAAGATTGAATTCTCGCAATAAGTTTGGTCATTGCAAAACATGCTAGAAGGCGCAATGGTCCTACAAATACCTTAAACATATAGGGGGTTCAACGTCGGTTGTGGCGTAGAACAAAGCGCTTTGTGAAGTACACGACAGGCACTCAATCTATAGAAGATTTAAAAATTGTTCTCGAAGTTTCGAGCCAAGGCTTTGCTTCAGGAGAGTTACTGAGATCGAGAAATGTTTTTATCTCTTTCAAATTGAGTCGCTGTTTACAGAATGCTTTGTGTGAACTTGTAAGTCCATATAAATAATTGTCTCGCAACAGTTATGAGACAACATTGCACGTCATATATTACATCGTATTACGTCATATATTACATTACGAAATATTTCATCATCCTATACGAAATATTTCATCGTGCTACTCGAAATAACGCATCGTGTTGCACGAACTACCATGCATTGTGTTGTGCTCACTACGAAGTTTTCCAGTGTTACTAAGGAAAACTATTAATTAAAATTATTAATAACTATAACCAGGCAACTGCATAATGTGGGAATCAAACTCATCAAAGACGATGGGATATCTATAAAATATGGCAAATAAGTAAAATACCCAGGAGCTAGCTAGATGAAGTGGTACCATTGGCAATTGCTTCGGTGGCGAAGTGGTTAGCGCACTTGCCTTTCATCTCTGAGGTCGCAGTTTCAAATCTAAGTGATAACTTTCGCAATGCGTCTCGAACCCAGTCCTCGTGTGAAGAGTAAAAGTCAACGCTCTGCCGAAAGTCAGTGGGTTTTCTCCGGGTACTCTGGTTTCCTCCCACAGGGAAACTTGACAGGGTGCAGGGTTAGGTAAAAAGGGCCCACTGTAATTGGCATATGCTGTTGTGGTGACCCTGTCCTAGTTGTCAAAAGCTAAATAAATATATATGGCACTAATTTCATCAATGAAAGTCCTATTATACTAAAGCATTTGAGACACAGTATATCTTCGCTCTGGCCGTGTTTTGGGATTCAACCATAGGGATTCAACAGTGGTATCATGAGACAAGGCCGACAAGGATAGCCACTGTCACCCATTAAAACGCCATCGATGTTGCCTCGTTCAAACTTTGAATATAAGCGACTGTTGTAAAAAATTCTAACATCATGAACGCTCCCTGGCCAACGTGTAACAATGTTTAGAATTTCCACATTTGCTCGGCAAACGAACTTGCACGTTAATGGAAAAATACCCTTTTCTATTTCGATGCAGTTCTGCATTCTGGCCCCCTGACCCAGGAGATATTTTAACGCTTCCATTGTAACGCTCCATTTAAAAGCTTCCTTTGTTAACCCATATCTGCTCCTAAATTGTTCGTCGTCATACTTCTCTATATCGAAATTATATGCTAGCCGTCTATTCCTGTTATTAGACAGATTTAGATCGAGGACGCGGACGTCAAAGACGACGTGAAAATGGCGTGTTGTGCCCATGTATGGATACGCCACGCCATTTTGACGTCATTTTCACGTCGACTTTGACGTCCGCGTCCTCGATCTAAATCTGTCTATTGTATATTCTTTACAGCGTTCAGTCTTTTCAGCAATCTATCAGCCACATTTTTTGTGAGTGCAGGTCAAGGGAGGTATACATTTCACTCACACTTCACATTTCAGCTTCCTTCGAGGGTGAGCGATGTTTTTAAATGACTGGAGTGCGAGTGTAACAATCCGCTCAGTGAGTTCGAGGGGCGATTCATTTAGTGGTAAGTTGCACTGATTGAGAATGAGCGTCCACTTGTTAAGTGTGAGTAAGCTTTTAGAATACAGGCGTAAAACAGAATTTATGTTAATTGCCAATTGGGTCAAGACAAAGAATAAATACTTTTCACCAAGGATGGATTTACTGGGGGAGGGCCCTTGGCCAGGGATGGGGGGGAGGGTGCTATTTTTCATAAAGCGAAAACAAATTAGAGACAAAATTATATACAGTAACTTGAGTAATAACATGATGAGTAGACTGTGAACAACAAATACAATTCAAATACAGTAGTCAAGCAAGATTGCAGTAGTCAAGCAAGTTGATGGTCGGGCGGCGCACATGACCGATACAACTCGGCACCAGAGCTAGCAAAGCACACACTACCAGATCATGCTGGATTCATCCCTGCATGCTTTTCACTCGGCTCTATTCTTACCAATCAACTGGAATCCGATTGGCTAGGTTTTTCAAACGAAGTCTCTTGGTGTGCACATTGACGAGAACATGTCTTGGAATGTGCATAGTAATGAAATAACAAAACACTCTTGTATTGGAGCTTTAAATGTGTACGATCCATCATTAGAGACCTTATGATTTTAGGACGACAACGCGACGGCAACGGCTACCAATACAATAGATCATTGAAAAGAATTAATGAGTAATTACAATATATGAATAATTTAGACATTGTCCTCGCTCTGTTTACGACGCCAAATCACAGATTTTCACGTCTTGATACAACGGCTGCATTCCAAGCCGCAACAAGTGCAACTTCAAACTGGGTTTAGCAGAACTCTTCCCAACCATAAAACCCATGTCTTCAACTTCTAAAACTGTATTAAATTCATACGATTGATAATATACGACGAACTATCTTTACTACCATTTATTTGAAGGAGTTTGTTTTGGCCGTCGCGTTGCCGTCCTAAAATCGTAAGGTCTCTATTATTCCCGATACAACGCTGAAACTTATTTACAATTCTTTAGTTCAGCCACATTTCAATTATTGTTGCACTGTGTAGGATAGCTGCAATAAAACCCACGCTAATAATGTAGCAGTCTTTTTCAGTAATTATGCCATGCATACGGGTTACTGATCGGGATTGAAGCCGAGTTTCGTGAATCGGAAGTGTACGTAATGCTTCGATTGGACAAGATCATCCCACCAGAGAAACGTGGAAGCAAGATCACATGAATTGCACACAAACAAGGTCATCTTGAAAACCAAAGAAATTATTCGATATACCAGGAATAAAGATACAAGTCGAGGATTCGATTAAAAGATGCTTTGAATGCCAAATTTCCAGACATACGAAACGCACGGGACCTGCAAAGATGACGTAACTACCAACCATGCAGACCATGGTCATTTCCAAATGGAAAGCACGCTCTCGGTGTTACAGATCAGTACTCGCGATACCCCGAGGTAAAATTCACTACCACCACACGACCACCAAGTGGTAAAGGACATATGTGACAGCTGGATGGTATTATCAGTTTGTAAAGTTGTTGGCTAGGAGTGGGTATTTATTTTTTAATTGATATTTGAGGTTGGGTAAAGAACAATTCTGACTTTTTAATGGCTGGATCAGCAAATTTGTTACCAAGAAAAACATTTCTCTTTGGTGCCATCCCCCGTCATAAATGACTGGTCCTTAAGGCTAATCTTAATCCTATATCCGTAGGGCTAACCCTAACACTAGGGTTAACCCTAACTCTACCATAAACCTAGGGTAAACTCAAAAAACTTGGGCTAACCCTAGGACTAATGGCTAACCCTAACACTAGCATGTGATATATATTTGACAATTTGAAAACCCCCTAAACAAAAACCCCTTAACGAAACAACTTCCGAATGTATGCATCTTGAAAATCCAAGATATGGATCGAAATCAAGACGAAATTTTATGTGGTCTTGTTATATAGCGTGAACACCAAAGGTAATTGGCTGACTTGCGGTCACGTGGCTTTAGATAAATGCAATGTATCCCGCCGGGCAACAGGTGAAAAATTGTTGCCAGCCTCGACTATTTTCCGAGTTTGTGTTAAAATAAAGTTGTTACCAGAGAAGTACCAGGCGGGAAACGAATTCTAATAATAAATATTAAAGCCCAGCAAAGTGCTTTTAAAAGAGCCATAAACCATTAAATTTAAAATTTTTATTAAAGATTTTGTAACGTTTCGTCTTAACTCAAGACATCTTCAGACTATATTAAATTACAAGCTGTAAGAGTAATTAAGCATAAAGTAAAGTTATCATAGCAATATTAAATTACAAGCGAATACGAGGTACA